AGAAATATTTCATTGTCTTCTTTGTATTTTTTTGTTTTAAGAATTTTGTAAGCTGGATCTAAATTATCTTCTAATCAAGGGAAGACAGCACATTTTTAAAAACACATTTTCAAAATAATTTTTTTTTCTGCAAAAGGAAGGCACGAAGTGTGAGATGGAGAGAAACCTTTTAGCAAAGCCAGTGTTCAGCTTAGGTGTGTGCCTTTTGCCGAGTGGGTAGAGGCAAGGAGGAATGAATAGACAAAGAGTAAGGAAATTCTATGAGCACGTCTTCTTGCTTCACAACTCTGTTTATACTTCTTGGTCTCCAGCAGCAACTGGAAAGGGGAAAAACATCCTGACAGTGTATATTCAGACACATACGGTCAGCATCATGAAGCTCTGGACGCCTCAACTCATGACATTCCTCTGTATGGTGCTACTGTCTGTGCTGGGAGTGATAAAAGAAAAACACAGCTGTAGGTGACTAGGCTGGGCTGGGGAGTCAAAGGGGTGGGGGGTACTGTGCTTGTTCCTGGATAACTGAAGGGGTATTGTGTCTAGCACATCTGACTCAGGACTCAGGACCTTCCCTGGAACACCTAGTGGAGATTCAGAGACTTTCTTACGCACAGAGTCCAAGAAGTGTCCAGGTTGAGGTCCTTTGATGCTTCCTCTCCAACCTTGAAAGTGGCAATGGGTACCTGTCACCTTTTATGTACATTTCATATGTTATAAGGATATAATATTTTCCCATGTCAGGCTACCATAATTTTTTGTACTTCCAGAAGCTCTGTGTCTTCACTTGTGTGTACTTTACTGAGTCCCATATGGGGATTTCTTAATATATACACTTAGTTTCAGTGGCAGGATCTTTCTGAATATGAAAAGATAGAGAAGAGACATGAGATGTGGCCCTAGTGGGGCAAAGTTGGGGGCCATGTGACGAGAAAATGGAACCAGTCGAGGGTACCAAGAAAATTGAGTGAGAGAGAGAATTTGGTGAGAAGCTGTTCTTAAAGGTGGAGTCAGCAAGGGAGAGAAGAAAAAGAGAAAGAATCTGTTCCTTACTCTCCCTGGTCTGGCTTCCCACACTGGGAATTAAGTATGGTAATAAGGCTAGAGGCTACCTTGGGCCCCTCCTATTACAGAAATGTAGATTTTATAGGACGACACATGAACATGGGGGGTATGAGGAGTCCTGTCTCCAGGATGCTTGATGAGGGCCCAGAGGTCTGTGGGAGCAGAGAAGGCAGAGATCTGTGAAGACACAATGAGGAAGCTCAGCAGGGGGATTTTCTCATAAGGCAGATGGATAGTCAGGTGGGGCTTGGTGGGGCTTTGATTCTAGGAGGGGCTGTTAAGCTCATGAAGGACTTCTCTTCCCACCTTGGCTATGTAGCCCCTGTGAGCCTCTTCCCATCTCATCTCAATTACAGGGGCTGAAATGTTACTTGAGGAGTGCTGGGGACAGCCAAATGTCCTTGAATGCACCAAGAAGTGTTCTGGAACCTTTAAATGTATAAACAAAAATCACACATGCTGCTGGACCTATTGTGGAAACATCTGCTGGAAAAATAAAGTGAGTTGGGAGGTGTGTTTGGGCATGGATCTTCACTGATTCTCAGATGCTGTTATTCATAAACAGAAGACCGAAGCACCCTAAATTCTAGGCACAAAAATAGTGGAAGACAATGTACCCTAAACCTGGACAGCAGTTCACTGGCAAATAAACCAAGATACCAGGTTGGGGCATATTGTTCATTATATAATCAATGCCTATGTTGTTCTCATTATATTGCTCAATTGTTTGCTCTTTTCCTGATTTTTGTCCAAATTTCTAACCATTGCCTCTATAGTCAGACCTTTCTATGAGCCCTTTTGGCTCAGCCCGGCCCCAAATCTCTATGTTTCTCTGTTCAATGAACCAAACCCACCTCCCCACCTCAGAAGTCGACTTTTTCTTGTTACAAAAAGTACTCCTGTCCCAGGGTCTGCCATAGATGGGTAATATTAAGCTTGGGAATGAATGCTTGTTCCTCAGAGTTCCCTAACCTCTGAGTGTATAACCTTTCTGTCTTACAGGAAATCTTTGAAAGACATCTAAAACCCTAATCTCCCAGCTGGACACCAGTCTGTTCTCACTGAGGGCTGGGCAGGAGCAAATCCTTGACAAATAAACTCATTTATCAACAGTGGCTTTTAGCTTTTTCAACTCCATTTCACTACTTTTTTTTTTAACTTTATTTTTTATTTTTTAAAATGTACATCCAAATTAGTTAGCATATAGTGAAGCAATGATTTCAGGAGTAGATTCCTTAATGCCCCTTACCCATTTAGCCCACTGCCCCAACAGATCTCAATGCCTGGCCTCCCTGGGCCCTCTCCATTGTCTGCAGCCAGGAAACTGTATCCCTTGTAAGTCATGGATTGGGTGAAGCTACCCCCCATAGAATCTACACTCTGAGAACTCAGCAAAGTCTGAGACATCCCGCAGACCCTCTCACTCCCCAGGATTTGCAGGGTCCAGAGAGGAAGATGACCTGTCACCTTCCCCCCTCTCTCCTGTGCCTGTCACTGTGTCCAGGACCCCTGCCCCTTCCCAGAAAATACCACTTGCGCTATTTCCCTTCCGCTGCCACCATCCCGGTCCCTCTGATGAGAACTTCGACTTGACTGTGTACACCCCAAAACTCTCTTTCCCAGGGCCCTTTCTTTCTGTACCCATTCCCATCAATATTACTGGATGTTTACAGGTCACAGAAGTACAGAAATCCAAGAATAGTTGTTTGGTTTCCCCAAGTGATTCTCAGCCCTGATGTACCTTTCACTACTGAGTGTACTGTTTAGTGTCTGGGTACTTGGGATGGAGAGTCAAAAGACATAGTTTCCCCCTCCACTCCCATCAGTGTTCCTGGTGCTACGTAAAGGGGCCAGAGGGCTATCGTTTGGGAAGACCCAGAATCTTCATAGTGCTGTGGTCAGAGTGATGAGGGACCATAAGGCAGGCTGAGGGCCAAGCACAAGCTAGCATTACCCCCCACCCCCAGGTGGGATATGAGATATTCCTCAGACACTCCTAACTGCACAAGTACAAAGGAAAGGACAGAAAACAAATGACTAACTGATAGAGATCACAGTCATACAGGACATGGGTCTCCATCAGTTTACAAATATCTTAGTAAACTAAAATTTAAATAAATTTAAAAAATTTAGCAAATTTATCAATAGCCTAGTCTCTAGAAACCTATAGACTCAGTTTCCTGGAGTCCCTAATATCACCCTCCCCTCCATAGTGATGTGGGGAAGGATTAAAGGCAAGAAGGAAATGGCAGGTAAAATTAAATTTCTTTATAACCTGCAGCCCATCGACAAGTACTTGAGGCAAATATAGAGTAGTACATTTCTCCAGGAACATTTGTCCTAGAAGGCCCTACCGCCTTAATGCTTTGCTAGAGGGAAAAACAACCTTAGCTTGACAATAGCTAGGCCTCCAGTAATCTGTGAGTCTTTAGCTTATGAAAGTCTCTTTGCAAACTTCCCTTTTGACTTTACCTCCCCCAAGTCCATGGTTCTACACAACCCCAGTGAAGCTCTTCCTGCCCACTGGTCCTGTTCCC